CAATTGTCTCGACTTGAGTCGGTCACCATTATTACTTCAGTCGGTTGTTCACATCTCTTGTATGATGCCATTGCAGTTGCACCTACATTCAGTATAGGTACCTTAGAAGCAGTTATCTGTATAAGACTTCAATTTTGAATTAATTTTATTGTGCTGGTGAAAGTAATATGAACGCAATTAAATTTAACTACAAAATCATTGTGAAGTGGTTAATGATCCCGGAGGACAGTACGTATGATGTAGTTATGCGGATAAAGGTAATGTTATACACCTATTTAGTTAATTGAAGGTTCATAAAATCTTGCTTTTTAAAAAATACTGTGCAGTTTAGTTGATGTTATGGTATTAGGGCTGGCCCTTAGGTATAGAATATAGAATTTTGTTTATATATACAGATATATAAATTAGTTATATATATTTCGGTTGTTTTATATTGTCTATGTATATGTACTAATATATACATATTTGTTTAAATAAATTAATTTATTTAAAAAGTTCTAGTAGCAAACGTTTTCGCTCACTTCCGGCCACCCTCCTCTATATCATTGAATGGTTTTTATTCAATGTCTATATTTAGAAAAAAGAAACACTGGAGTGCGGTTATAGTAACACGAAAATTCGGTTTTCCCGAGAAATTTTGATGCAGTCGATTTTTGGTAAAAAAAGGAAGGTTACACACTGCCTTTTTTTGAGGCCCGAAAAAAAATTGTCTCAGATCGCCCCGGAAAAAAAATTTTCTTATAGAACGTGGCCTGTAGAATTCATAATTTCAAACAGCTCCAAGATTCGGCTACTATTTCAATAGTTACAGCCCTTTGAATTTTCTTTCGAAATTGGTTTCTAGTCTATAACCTTTGACTGAGAAGTCTAATCGAAAAAGTAAGAATTGTTTTGGATTCTACGCACCAAAATTAATAAGAAAAAGTGTTTTCCCGAGAAATGTTGGTACAGTCGATTTTTGGTAAAAAAGGAAGGTTACACACTGCCTTTTTTTGAGGCCCGAAAAAAAATTGTCTCAGATCGACCCGGAAAAAAATTTTTTCTTATAGAACGTGGCCTGTAGAATCCATAATTTCAAACAGTTCCAAGATTGGG